ATTGTATTAAAAAATAAGATAAAAAAATAAGATAAAAAAATTATTCTTATATCATTATCCTTAATATTTATCATGTAAATAATAATATTTTAATATCTTATTCATGTAAATAAGACATAAATAAATATTAAATTTATCATAAAAAAATAAATTACTCAAATTATTAAATTTAAGAGTTTATTTGCTCTACTAGAAGTATAGGGCTTCAGAGTTTTCCCTATATCAGCTCCTGTTATCTGTCTTTAATTCCTCCGTTCATTCCAGCTAATTAGCTAAAGGTGCTACTGGCGCAACCCAAAAGATTTTCTTTTTTGTATTAATCTCTTGACATCCGTTAATTACATTAATTTTAATTAATTTAAAATTGAATCACATCAACCTTATAATGGGAGAAACTCTCTTATGTTTGTTTTTTTTTTTTTTATAAAACTTAAATTTAAAATTTTATTTAAAGAAAATCGAACTTTTTATATTCGAATTAAACTCTTTATATTCAAATTAACATGTCGTTGATAATCAAAAAAATATTAAAAAATTTATACCATAGAGTAAGAGTAAAAAATAAATTTGATTTTTTATTTTTTTGCAATCGACAAATATATAATTACATTTAACTACTTGTGAATTGGGCAGTGCCCGAATCCAAAATATTTGTTTAGAGTGTAAAATTATGTGTAAATTAAAAAGTTGATAACAAAATTTAGCATGATAAGAAAGAAAATATTTTTTTTATTTTTTAGTTCATACCCCCACATTTAAATTTAAATTTTTTTTATTTCACTAGAACCTGGCAGCTGTTGTTAACTTTTACAATTAGTAGGAATTGCAAAAAGTTATACTTAATTTTTTTTAAACAAATACAAATTTAAGAAGAGAGATTTGAATTTAGTATTTAAAGTTAGGATGAACTTTTTAAAAAACTAATAATTAATTGATCTTTTAGACTAAGTGCCGAAGAATTATATATAATTTATATAAAATATATCTTAAAACTAATAAATGCAAAACAATACATTGTACGTATCATACCAATAGTGAAATTGGTATGAATATGTCGGTAAGATAGGCATGAATATTTATGAATATGTTGGTAAGATATTTGATAATATTGACAAAAATAGCAACATCATATAATAACAGTCTTTTA